GGACAAGATAGAATAGAAACCCTGCACCCAGTTTGCACGTGCGATAGGAGCAACCTCGGTCATTGGATCCCATCCAAACTCCACAGATGAGCATAAAAGACAGGTTGTTTCTCATCCGTCCTGAGTAAGATGAAGCCCCCTCTTGCAGTAGAACTTGTTGTTTCGAAAGTTATGAAACCTCTCTCGACTAGAAACATCGGAAAATTAGACAAAAAGGCAAATTTTCCTCATTTAGACCATTCATTTAGAAAGCCTACAAAAAGTTAAAATACATGTTAGAACACCTGGGAATTAGGTAGAATCTAGTTAAAATGGGAAGGGAGCAATCTTCTACTTTAAGGGGGTTCAAGCTACTGATTCCTTGAATCCCGCCACAATGGCCCAAATTCCTCTAGAGAAAGATGAGGGAGGCCATCATAGCGAGATCAAGGCCATCAGAGCGGCCTTTATCTGGGACGAACACAAGGTCTTCATCCCAAAACCTCCATTTTCAATAGAATTTCAGTAGATCAAAGTACCCCTAGAACCTAAAATATGCAATCATATTAGCAAATAAACCCATAAACAATGCTCAAATGAAAGTTTTTCATCAAGAGACCCTTCAACTTCCCACGTCGTTTTTGTACTGATTTAATCATATTTTTACGAAATCCTTACGCCCAAGATGTTGTGGAGACGTTGGGGACGTAAGGGCAGTGGATATGCTATGTTTTCTATCAAAACTGGCAACTTAAGTTCATATTCGAAAATTACCCCCCAAAACTGCTTCTAATCGATTAAATAGTAGCATGCAATCGTTGTTGATCAAAAACTAAAGTAAGGAGTACATAGAGCAAGGAACTTACCTTAAATTGACGCTCAAAAAGAAGCAACTGAGAGTGTTTTGGGGAATTTTGGGAGATTTCGAAACTAATAGGGGAAAATGAACTCCCCCCCCCCATGTACTCTGTCCCGATCTCCCACTAACGGGAGATCCCTTGCTACAGCGGCGCCACCTTAGCGGGAGGGCTGTTGCCCTGGCGAGGCAGGTTGTGTAAATTAGGACACAAATTTTCTTCGAGTAGTGTGCTATATCCTTGACCGATCTTTTAAAGTATAGAACTTGTCATGAAATTAGACTTTGGAAATAAAAACCCATGATTTCGTAATTGACCGAGTTGTTAGTTAAAAATACTTTGATATGGGGTGCGTAATGATTCGTGTACTAATCATTCGGTGACGAACAAGGAATAAATTTATATCTATTATAACGACCCGAACAATAGTTAATATGAAACTTTGAGAAATACTGGGCATTGTCCCGCTAGGGCGGGATATTTTCTGCTAAGTCGGCGGCGGCACAATGAGGTAAGTAGTCGCCAGGGTGGGATAGGCGAGATAATGTAAATAACGTGAATTCTTATTTTCTCTTTCTTCCTAAAACACCTAAAGTAGTCATAAAACACCCTAGAAATCCCCCCCCCCCCCCAAAGTAGATCTTAGCTTGGGAAGGAAGGATAAGGAGATTTCTAGTGTAAGGAGTGTTGTGGATGGTAGATTTTCGGTCAAGATCACCATCACAAAGATCGGAGACAAGAATCAAATTCAAAACTCTGTGCAACTGTTTGGTGCCCAGGTAAGCTAGGTTTTATTAGTTGAGTAGTTATAAATTTGTGCTCACTGTGCAGTATAATGAAAATCAATGATAGAATTTATGCGTAAGCTTTCGTGCACCAAACAAAGGATGAATAAATCATAGAAATAATCCTTAGATGACGAACTAGGGCTAAGTATGATCGGGATATTGCTTAAGTAATATACGTAGGTGATGGTTGTGATTCTTTGATTATGTGATGTATGTTGTTCTTGCTTTATTATGATACGTGTATGTATGCGAATGTTGCATTATTGATCACACTTGTAAAAGAGATAGATGAATGATGAATGTCATGAATCATGACTTAATTATATGATCTTGAGAATATATTTGTGATTGTAATTGTGGTATGTTGAATGGATCGGGTTGCATCCCGATACATTAACTTGGATCAATTTCCACGTTTCAGCATAATTTTGGGATCAATGCCACATTTCGACATAATTTTGGGATCAGTTGTCACGTTTCGACATAAACATTGGATCGTGTACCACATTTTGATATGCTAACAGTTTGGGTTTGGGTTCCATGAGAGAACCAACTATTTGACATAATAGTATGTCTTGGCTTGTGATAATGCACATTGTTCGTAAGTGATAATTGATGTCGTTTCTCCAAAATTGTTAAATAATTATGATGAACAATATCTGATTGTCCAACTATGTGATACGATACATGGAGGCCAATTGTTGTTTATGTGTTATAAGGGCGAGAAGTGGGGATAGTGTACGTGATATAATTACTTAGGTGGATTTCACCTTGGCGAAAGGAATTTGTGGGTACTAACAAGAAAGCTTGAAATAATGTAACATGTCATGTGGCACAGACACGGTAACATAGAAGAGAAAGTAAAGGTATGTCGTTGGTGGTTAATCGGAATGCTAGTAGTTGTATTTGTCAACTCTGTAATGGGTTAGAATGGTTAGGTTATGATCAAGAACCTGGTAAGTAGGTCGAAGAAGAAGGAGGTTAGTAGTAAGGGTATTAGTGTAGTTTTGAGGTTTTCAAGCGAGAGTAAATGTGGAGAAGCGAGTGGTTATTGCATACTCCTGTTAGTTGATTTTCATATGAAGCGTGGTGGGCATCAGGTAGACCGATCACACCTACCAGTACGCGTGGTTTTGTACTGATACTACTCTTGTTATATCTTTGAGCATAGGCTGGATGCAAGTTGGTGAAGTTTCATTAGGTGAAGACGAAGAAATTCTCCAACAACTTCAATTTTTTCTTTCACATGGTGGTAGCTGTGTCTTTTTATTTAATTGACCAATTTGTACTCTTAGTAGCTCTTGTATTTGTTTAGTCTAGATCCTCCGAGAGTGTTAATTACTTTGCAAGTGTTAACTAAAATTGTGTTAAATGTTCTTATTATATTTTATTTTCATTTTTATGTAAATTTTCTGCATGTTTTGATTATTGGGATATGAGGGTTCTCCCACTTAGGTATTAGAGTGGGTGCACGCACGGTCCGGTGGGTTGGATCGTGACAACTATCCTTTATTAGAGATACCAATTGCTAATATGTTTTTTATTTTTTATTTTTTCTCTCTTTTTATATTTTGACCTATTTAAGAAATAAAATAATTACTTTTGTTCTTTTCTAATTTATTATTTTTATTTTCTATTTTATTCTTTTCTCATTTATTATTTTCATTCCTTTTTTTTTCATATTAATCTTAAAGATATCATTTAGTAACAATTTTATTAACTCTTTCTTTATCGTTTTTCACTTATTCTTTGTTAAATATATTTTTATTTTATTCTTTATTAGAGATATGATTTGATAATATTCTCATTATTTATTTATTTGTTCTTCTTTTTAGTTTTCTTTTTTCCTATATTTGTAATACCATTTAGTAATATATACTTTTACAATATTATTTACGAATGAAAACAAAAAATCTTAATGATATATTATGTATATGTATATCCATTAATTTGTTTTTGTGGGGCAATTACTTAGGTTTACCTGGTATTAATCATAATAACAAAAGGCCAAACAATCAATTAGAAACACCAAATTAAAGTCTCTTCAGCTCACTGTACAAGAGTGATTGCATCAGAAAAGACTTTGGTCGGCGTCGGGAGATAGCTTGATTATGATTTTACAAAAGACACCATGAAATCTGAGTCAACAAAGACATCTTCTTGCATTGAGAGATGAAAAGCTTCCGGGAACTATCCATTTACTTGTTGTCTATGATTTGTTAGTATTTTTTTTCCTTGTATGTACAATTTGCCTGGTGATTTTCGGCAATAGGATGAGAGCTAATAAACTTAAATCACTAGTCAAGATTTCATTTTCATAAGGATCAAGTACAAATAAGACCGCAACGGTCTAGTAATCAATTCACATGTAATAAGTGAAAATTTTTTGTCCTTAGCTTTCCTTCTCTGAAAGTATGAACCACTGTAACTTTTGAGTATGTGACCTCAATCCAGGATAAGTGAATCAATTTTCATAATCTCTTGGAAATGTAATCTTGCAATTAATTTTTCCTTCATTTAGCTTCAACAAAACTAAATTTTGCCTTTCATCTCTCGCACAAAAAGCTATACAACTTCAGCTTTTGCTTCAAGACTCTCTTTAGTCTATAAGTTTGGTCTAAAAAAATTTAAATTAATGATGTGTACAAATATTCTCTTGTATAATCACCTAACATCTCCTTGATAGTTGACACGAAACATGATAACTTGGCTCGTCAAATAAACTCGTTTTTTCTAAAATAAACATAACAAAATAACGATGTGTTACAATTCGATATATATAATATTATTTACTTATTTTTGGAAAAGGAGTAATATTCCATTTTCAAAATCCACATAGATTATTTAATCTTAGTTTGTTGACTTAATCATTACCTTACCATTTCTATCAATATAGTGGACTTTTTAAAAATAAAATATAGTTGTGGAGCTAAATGCTTCATTTTATTTGTATCTGAAATTATAACTTACATAAATCCTACACATTTGGCATTTGGAGCTAATTACATTTTATTGAGAAGTTTCTATAAGAATAAAAATCTCAATTTTTTCATTGTCCTCGGATAGATTTGTTGATTGTATGATATATTGCAAATAATATTTTACTTAATAGTAGGGATGCACATAAGAGTGGACATAGATTCTCTGATAGGATAGGGATATATCCTAGAGGAGATTATTGTAATTACTTTAAATGATTTTTTTTTTTGATATTATGATATCTTAAGTTGTATATTTATGTAATTTCTCATATCTTAAATCTATATAGAATGGGCCAATGAACCTAAAAAGAAATATAATATAACAAAAATAAAAACAGTAAATAGGCCCAGTCCAAAAGAGTCGTCTTCTTTTATATATCACCCCTAAGAAGTAGGGTTTTTCATTTTGAACCAACAACCATCTCTCTCTATGCCGCAGCTTGGAGCTAGTTGAACTCAGAATCATATGGTAATATTGATTTCTTATTATTGAATCTATATGTTTATGAAATTGAAATCATTTTTTGAAACTATTTCACAGTCAACAAGAACGTTCACATTTAACGTTTTTAATAGAGAAATACAATATAGTCCTCCAAAAAATTGTATCGTACCTGAAATTCAGAATAATTTTGCTATTTTGTTTTAATTTTTGACCAATCATAAAAATCGTATGAGATTAATAGAAATTTCTAAGTGGAAACATGCTAAAGGTATGAAACCTAATTATATCGAAATAAAAGTACCTTAATTATCGTGTAGATGCTAGATGTTAGATATTAGATCTTCGTTAAAATTATCATGCTACATTTTAACACAAATATAGAATTGCGTTAGGATTATTGAGTTCTGTTGAATCGATTTAAGATGCTAGATCTTCATTCTGAGTATCTTCATCCTGATTTTTTTAATACAGAATCTAAACAATAATTGCTTAATAATTTGAATTTAAAGTGGATCAATTTTTTCTGGTCTACCATGAATTAAGTTTTTCTATATATAGCTATTACTAATATATTTATATTACTATTCTAAAGTTGTTTTAGTTGAGTTAATTATAACCCTTTTTTAAAAATACATATATAGAATATAAATAAAAATTATTGATGATTTGACTTTTAAAATCAAATGAATCCTGGATAAAAATCTGTGTCATTATCTTGTTCTCTAACTGAGTATGAAACAATTCAATGTGGGCCATTGTTTTCTAGTCTATCCAATACAAAGTTGTAGTATATATATCTCTTACTAATACATTTTTATTACCATTCTAAAGTTACTTGTTAAGAAAAATAAAAATTACTAATTGATTTATTTAGATTGCCCTTTAATTTCACCAAACAACAAAAAAGAAGGATTCATTTGGATCAGGAAATTTGTAAGTAAGTTATCGATCAAGTAATTAATTTTTTATTTCTTTTATTTTTCTAGTTCCTATTGTACAAGTATCTATCTTTAGTTACTTCAATTTTTTTAATTTGTCTCAAACATCAACATTTAAAAGGTTTCATAGACTCAAGTTATTCATGTTTAAAAGTTCTTTTTTAATTATAGCATTTGGAATTTATCAAATTTAAAAGGTGGTGTCTTTTTATTTTTTTTGTCGTACACAATTTTTATTACAATTTAGCAGTGTGAAGAAGTAAAAAATAATTGGTTTGGTGAAAACAAACATCATTGTTTTCTCTAAAAAAAATAAACTTTATGAATTTATGACTTTCTGCTATAATTACAGATTCTTCAAAGTTATTGATGTAGTCTTAATGAGATCATTGGATTTTATATATAAATAAATAAGAGATTTATGAGGTATATTGAAAAAAATATATGATAAGATGACAAAAAGTGTAACATGAACATAATTCAAGACTCAAGAATAAAAGATTCTTTTGATTTTTATAATATTTTGTCGTTTTATAAGCTTATACAGTGTGAAACTAATTAAATTATAATCAAATGAGTAAGAATATTCTGTGTGTTCAATTCATTCTGAAATCTAGTTCTTTACTAGTTTTTTGACTTTATGCTACTTGTATTATTTTATTTTATTTTACCTTAATTAGAGATAGATATCTCAAAAATCATAATTTTCATAACTTTTATCAATCTAATAAGTGTATAAATGCTGGTGTTTCTATTGTCACATGTGATATTCGATTGAATTGGTTCATCATAAAATACAGGAGAAATCGACAATGGAATTGAGTAACAATAGAGATGGTGGCGTATCTGGAGATGAATTGACTTCTCCAGATGGTAGTTCAGAAAGGAGGCATAAATTCAGTGTCAATCAAATTCATGAGCTTGAAAGGTATGTATGTGTATCATTCCCAAATTGCTTTACATATGGTTATGTTCATTATTAACATTTTTTTTAAAAAAATCTATTTTCCTTTTGGTATTAGTGTATTCAAAGTAAGTTCACATCCTGACGAAAAAACAAAACAAGAGCTCGCAACAAAATTTTCCGTGGACAAAAAACAAGTGCAATTTTGGTTCCAAAATAAACGATCCATATCGAAGGTGATGGTCTTATTTTTCTTCAATATTCATGCTAATAGAATTTTTGTGCAATACTTATGAATTATGTTGTTTATTCAGACGCAATCGGAACGATATAATAAGAGAGTGTTGCAACAAGAAAATGAAAAACTTCGCACAGAGTATGCTGCAATGAGGGAAGTCATGAAAAAATCAATTTGTGATCCGTGTCGTAATAAAGATACTACTATAAGGAACGAAAATGTCGATGAGAAGGAAATATTGAATGAGCATGCCCGCCTAAAAGATGAACTTGCAAGGATTGCTATCCATGCTGACAAATCTTTGGGATCTTCTTCATTTTTAGAGGGATCATTAACATCCATGATGGAAAAATTTGGGTTAGAATTAAATGAGGTTGATTTTGGAAAATATCTATCAAGTCCTCTACCTACAAACTTAGATGTAACACTTGATAAATCAATGTTACTAAATCTTGCTTTGGATGCCTTGAATGAGTTGCTTAAGTTGGCAATGAGTGATGAACCTTTATGGGTTAGAAACTTGGATGGAGGTGGGGAAATGTTGAATATGGAAGAATATGCTACAACTTTTATTCCAATTATTGGCATAAAACCTAGCCATTTCACAACAGAAGCTACAAGGTCATCTGGTACAGTGGTTGGCAACAGTTTGACATTGGTAGAGATGTTGATGAATGAGGTATGTTGGTTTTTCATCTCGTGTAAATTCGTCAACAACTTTCCCCTATATGGTGTAAAACATTATTGATTCTTATTTTTCTTTTATGTTTAGTATTATTCTTACTTTTATTGTATTTAACATATTTGTTTAGTTAAAGGTGCTTTTACTAATTGTTTACATTTTTTTATCAATTAAGTTTTAACTTTGAAGTCATAAACATAAGGATTAGTTTATTTGTTACTTCCTACGTATGAAGACTGAATGTTCATTTATTAATGAAGGCAGCAAGGTCTTAAATAGAGTTACAACGGAAGTAATAACTCCTAAACGAACTGAACTAAAGTAATCTAATTAAATAATAACTGCTGAACTAGTAAGACAATCCTAATACGACTAAACTACTAACTGGCGTCCTAAGACCAGATGTTCTAATATGGCCCCTCAAGTTAGACGATGAGTCTCTAAGCCTAACTTGAACAATTTAGACTCAAAATCAGATTTAGAAAGTTCCTTGGTGAGGGTGTCTGCTATTTGATCGGCACCATGGACATGAACAACACGAAGCCTTTTAATGTCAACATAGTGGCGAACAAAGTGAAAGTCCACAGCAGCATGCTTAACACGACTATGGAGGACAGGATTCTTGCTCAAGAATGTGGCTCCAAGATTGTCACAATAAATTGTGGGTAGCTGATGTACTGGAAAGTGCAACACATTTAGGAGATTGGTGACCCATAAGGTTTCAAAAAGTGCATTAGTCACTGCAATGTATTCGGACTCAGTGGAGGAGTGTGAGACAGTATTTTGCTTCTTTGATGACCAATTAATCGGATTGTGACAAAGAAATATGATGTAACCAGATGTAGAAACTCTTTCAACGACTGTCCCCACCCCAATCTACATCAGAGTACACATGTAGATTGAATTCATCAATGGGAGTAACGCGTAGGCCGAGTTGAATGATACCCGCAGGTATCAAAGAACACATTTTACAGCCTTCCAGTGAAGGTCTGACGGTGCTTGCATAAATTGAGGAAGCTTGTTGAATACATAGGCTATGTCAGGTCTAGTGAAGGATAGATATTGGAGCTTACCCAAGACTCGGCGATAACGTGTAGCATCAGTCAAGTGAGTTCCATCAGACAAGGTAAGTAACTCAGATGCACTCATCGGCGTGTTAACACTCTTGCAGTCGGTCATTAGCTCATCATTCAAAATTTCATTCACATAATTTGCTTGGGTGAGAACTAAACCGTTGGAGCTGTGTATCACTTCAACACCAAGAAAGTAGTGAAGATTACCTAAATCTTTAATAGAGAACTTAGAAGCAAGAGAAGTGATAACCTGATTGACACTTAAAGTATTGCTCTCATTTATAATAATATCGTTGACATAGATGAGGACGAACAACGTATCACCTGCACCATGTCTGACAAGTAGTAAGGCATCAGATTTTGTCTTAACAAAGCCTATGGATTAAAGATAACCCGTGAGGGCATTGTACCACGCCCGAGGAGCCTGTTTCAAGCCATAGATTGCCTTCCGTAGCCGACATATATGCATTGGTTTGTCATCATTAGTAAACCCCGGAGGTTGTGATGTACACTTCCTCTCCAGGTTGCCTTGGAGGAAGGCATTATTGACATCTAGCTGGGAAGGTGCCAGTTGTGACCAAGTGCCACATAGAGGACGATGCGAGCTGTGGTGGGCTTGATGACTGGGCTGAATGTGGCATGAAATTCAACGCCTGGCCTCTGAGTAAAGCCTTTTGCAACTAGGAGTGCTTTGTATCTGTTGATGGACCCATCAGCATTTCTCTTGATCCTGAAAAGCCACTTGCAGGATACAATGTTTTTGGTCGGGTCAGGAGGAACAAGTTCCCAACTCTAATTTTTATTTAAAGTATCAAATTCATGTTTCATTGCATAACGCCACTCTGGATATTTTTGTGCTTGTTTGACAGTAGTGGGTGTGACATTGGGGTTCAATTTAGCTAGGTAATCAAAAATCTTTTTTGGTTTTGTGATATTATTTTGGGATCGAGTGACAGCAGGGGTAGGAGGAGACGTACATTGAGGCGATGAAGGAGCGAGTTCTAACTCGAAGGTAGGACAGACTGGTTGAGGAGCCATATGTGTTGGTGGGTTGGTGTTTCTACGGTGATAGACTAGGAGAGGAGACAAGTTGCTTTGTGTGTTGGTTGGTATTGGCGTTTGAGAGTTTGTAGGGAGGTCTGGTATTACTAAACAATGGGTAGTAGATATAGAAGAGGTGTTCTGGGAAGCAGGAATTATTGAAGATGAGGAAGACAGAAATTTACCTTGAGAGGGAAGAGTTGCTAGAGGTGAATCTGTTACGTCTGCCGCTGATGCATCGTCGGATAAGGACTGCGAGTTTGAGTTGTCTCCGGACTGGGCTGAAGAGGAAGCAGATGGTGATGGAAAATCTGTAATAGTGTGTGCTGCTATTTCTAATGGAGTTGGCAGATCTGTAACTATGGGAAGTTTGGGTGTGGGGTCTGAAGAACTTGGCATTGTTGGTGTTGCCCATTCCAGGTGAGTTGATTTAATGGCAATGTTGGAGAACAATGTCTTAAATGGAAAAACATCCTCAACAAATCGCACATCTCGAGATAAGTAAACCTTTGCAGAAATTGGGTCAAAACACTCGTGACAGTGATGGGATAGTGAGAATCCAAGATAGACACATGGGTAGATTTTGATTCAAGTTTATTTTTGGAGTATGGTTTTAGCCATGGATAACATAAACAACCAAAAATTCGTAGGGAGTTATAATTAGGTGATTTTCTAAGTAATCTTTGGAATGGGGATTGATTATCGAGGTGAGAGGTTGGAAGACGATTGATGAGGTAGACAGTGTGATGGCATGGAAAAGACCAGAATTAGGATGGGAGAGACGCCTCATGTAAGAGTGTTCTTGCAATTTCGACAATATGGCGATGTCTCCGTTCTGCAAGTGCAACTCGTTAGGGTGTATAGGGAGGGGTAGAGAAGTGTTGAATGTCGTGAAGTGAAAGATAGGAGTCAAGACTTTTATACTAACCTCCACCATTAGTATACAATGATAAAATTTTAGTGTCAAAATGTTTTTCCATCATAGGATGAAATTTTGAAAGGTATCTTTAACTTCACTTTTCTTTGTTAGTGTGTAGAGCCAAGTGTACTTCGTATATTGGTCAACAAAAATACAAGAATACAATTTTTTATCAACAGATAAGACTGGTGATGGCCCCCATAAGTCACTGAAAATAAATTGAAGTGGTTTAGAACTACACAATGATAATTGAGTAAAAAGATGTCTATGAGCTTTATTAGATAAACATGAATTACAATAAAATTTTTTGTCTCTCTCATGAAACGGTAGCGAGAATTTATTCAAAATAAACCTAAGAACTCTAGAGTGAGGATGACCAAGACATTGGTGCCAAGTAGTGAGAGGGATGGATGTGGAGATAATGTGAGCTTGGGGATGTGAGACAGGCCACTCATATAGTCCATTGTTAGTCTGACCGTGCACCAATGGCTGCCGTGTTTTCAGATCCTTCACAACAAAGTTAAAAGGAAAAAATTCAATAGACTTAAGATTGTCTTGACAGAATTTAAAAATAGAGATAAGCTTGTGTTTGATGGAAGGGGCACATAAAGTGTGAGTTAGCTTAAAACATTATTTGATGCATCTAATTTAGTAGAACCAGTGTGAGAGATAGGAAATTTGTAACCATCACCCATGGAGACATCTTCGTTATCGCGGTATGGTTGTAGGTTGTGCGGCTCTGTTGTGATGTGATGGGTGGATCCTGAGTCAACTATCCAGGGATTGGTCTCAGTTGTAAGCCCAGCGGCATAGTTGGATTTTGCTTCAAAGTGATTATGAGATCTCGAGCGGCAAACATTGGCGGTGCCAATTCTGTTACATAGTTGACAGCGAATAATACCGTTTGGATTTAAATTGGATTGCCCTTGTGGTGGAGTGCTTGGACGCAAGTTCTGGCGCCATTGTTGAGAGTTGTTGGTTTGTCTACGGTTATTGCGATTATTGGAGTTGAATTTAGTGGGAGTAGCAACTGCAGCAGTGATGGTACTAGATAGTTTCTTAGCATCCTCGTGGCGGAGGAAGAGTTCAAAGTCTAGAAACTTTTCAAACAGTTCCTCATAGAAGATAGGCGTATCGCGTGAATGAATGGCTGCAGATATTTCACGAAATTCAAGACCTAGACCACTAAGTATTTTGAAAATGAGTTCAGGATTGGAAAAAGGAGCACCAACAGTGGCTAACTCATCCGAAAAGGACCGAATAGTATAAATATATTCAGTAATGGAGCGATAGTCCTTAGTGACACGGACAAGCTGATCATGCAGACTGAAGACTCGGGTTTGAGATTTGTTCGCATCGGTGGTATGCAAGGCATCCCAAGCTGATTTAGCCGAGTCAGTGGCTGCAACAGTAGGGGCAATAGTGGGTTCGACAAAAGCCATAAGAGCATTCTGGATGAGTTGATTCTGACGGAACCAAGTTAAGAAGGCAGGATTGGGAGAGATATTCGTGCCGAGGGTAATCGTGCGACTAGGGGACAGACTGGTTCCGTCGAGATGGCCAAAGAGGTTGTTGCCATGCATAAGCATGGAAAATTGGGCTTTCCAGGTGGCGAAGTTGTGACCACCACTTAGTTTGATGGGTAATTGGGATGCGGGATTGAATTGAATGATAATATTGGTGCTTGTCGTGTTATCAGCATTGACAACTCTAGGATTGTTGCCATTGTTGTTGATCATTATTGTTGAGAAAAATTTTTTGGATCGTACTCTTTAGAGTGTGAAGATCCCTGATACCATATGAAGACTGAATGTTCATTTATTAATGAAGGCAGCAAGGTCTTAAATAGAGTTACAACGGAAGTAATAAGACTCCTAAACGAACTGAACTAAAGTAATCTAATTAAATAATAACTGCTGAACTAGTAAGACAATCCTAATACGACTAAACTACTAACTGGCGTCCTAAGACCAGATGTTCTAATACTACGCTTCATTTTTTGTGGCACCATTTTCTTTTTGGTAAGTCCCTAAAAGAATTTCACATTTCCTTATATGATAATTATTTACATGTACAATTTATTTTTTACCTTAATTAGTCCCGCTTAATTTTAACATAGTACTTTAATACATTTATGAAGAGAAAGAAATATAAGTTTACTTTTTTTTAAGGGCGATTTGATAAACATTTCAAAAGTTTTCATTATTTATTAAATTCAGTATCCAGTCAAATGTTGCCAGAGGGAATATTGTTTTTTTTTTTAATAATCATTGTCTTTTATATATGCAGAGTCAATGGGTAGAGGCGTTTCCATGCATTATTGGTAAAGTTAATACTTTTGATGTTATTTCTACTGGCATAGGTGAAGGCAAGAGTGGTACTCTGTTATTGGTATTATTCTTACTCATTATTTTGATGGAATATATATATATATATATATATATATATATATATATATATATATCTAATTTTTAGATTATTTTTTGCACTAATAGCTTGAAAGTATTAATTTGCAGATTGAAGCTGAATTACAAATTATTTCAAATGTGGTTCCTGTCCGTGAAATAAAATTTCTACGTTTTTGTCAAAAACATGCTGAAGATAGTTGGATTATTGTGGATGTATCTGTCGATACAATCAAAGAAGGCTCACAACAATATAAAATTGAAAAATGTCGAAGGCTCCCTTCTGGTTGCATTATTCAAGATATGTCCAATGGTTACTCTAAGGTAATTCAACTTAAATTCATGAAATTACAGTATCATAGCTATATATTTTGTGTTTTCATAATTAGTAAAATTTTAATTAGAAATGATGAGATCAATGAGAATATTCTATATCTTTTAATTATAAATTTATAATCAATGAATGAAGGTAAAACTTCTATATTATCATCATTAATATATAAGTGATAGATTCGTGAAATTATACTATTATTTAATTTCATAGCTATATATTTATGATCTATAAATGAAGGTAAAACATCTATATTTTTCATGTTTGATATGAAGGCTACATTATTAATTGGGTTATATGTTCTATGCATTATTTTTCATGATTTTCCTAGGTCTAATTACTGCTTTGTTCCACAGAGCCCCATTCCTCCCCTGACAAATATGATATATTAGAGCAGCCAACATTCCTCCCCTGACAAATATGATATATTAGAGCAGCCAATACAGCCTTGATCAATGATCTATATACTTATCTTTCCTTTGGCTCTTCTTGTCATTCGTTTTCACAATCCTTTTGACCCCAATCTTCAGCCATTCAAAGACTCCCTTCAAACATTCATTTGGAAACTCACGTTCAAAAAATAGATGGTTGACACTTTCTGGTTTACTCCCACACAAATGCACATTCTTTGCAAGTGTGTCTCTAGTTAGGATTCTTCGATGCATGACAATCCAACAAATGAATCTATGTTTTGGTATATTCATTTTGTTCCAAGTTTCCCTCCATCATGGCCATTGGCAATCATTTCCTCTTCTCCATTGGTATCCACTTTGAATCATATATCCTTCTTTCCATGTTCGCACTGAAGATGTTTGACTTGCTTGGCAACATCTATTTGATTGAAGCAAATTTTCCTTTACACATGTTGTTGTGCGGAAT